TTAAACACCATTTAGAAAATGAGGTGTTTTACTGGCAGGCTTACTAGTGCCAGGCGGTGAAACAATTCACTAAGTTCGGGGACAGATGAGGCCCTGCTAAATGCCAAGTGGCTAGAGAGGCTCTACCTATAATTTGGCGCGAAAGTATTCGTGACCATTGCACTTGTGGTGGGGTGTCGGCCTCTCGGTGACAATTAAGCCCAAAGATAGTAGTGGAGTGACATGGGAGGCACACCCTATGCAACCGTGCGAGGTGGCTAACTATGATTTGGCCTGAGGGGCGAATTTCATCTCTAGCGTGGAGGATGGGTGTTGGCCTCGCGGGACCACTGTGGACAAGGCAGAGGTGATGAAAGCTGGAAGCCAGTAAAACCTAAAAGAAAATTGGGATGTTGAGGAGTCGCCTTTGGTAAACGTACCTGAAGTCTATTCTCGTGTTTGTTAGGTCAGAAAGTAGTTGAAACCTATTTAAATTGAATGGTACAAGTTGCAGCGTGGATATGGTAATAATAGGGGAAAAACTAAAAGAGAGGGAAAAAAATATTATATCCTCCCACTAAAGGAGGTAGAGAGGGGAAGGAGAGGCCTATAACTAATAATAACAAAGATGAATATATAAACTAGCATGCATATATGCCAATGAAACACCTGGAATCGTACTCCTTAACAAGACCACCTACTTACAAGATATAGGATTGGTCTAAAAACCAAAGGAAATTCCCAAATTCTTCAGTCCTCATACCTGTCAGGCTGTCAGCCTGCTTACCCGGCTCAGCTCTGAGTGCCGCAATCTCCCCCGGCATTCTGATGGACGCTGCACGCTTGCGTGTGGATTGTTTATGTATGAATTACCCACGGGTTTCGGCACATACAATGACATCAAGGATCAATGTAAGGGAACCAGGTACCCCCCTCGAATAGTGGTAAACTCCAAACGACTTTCATCCAACACAGATAATTTATGCCTATATTTACTCACTAGGCATGTGCATGGGAAAAAAGTTCGGTTCGGCATTTCGAAATTCGTGACTTCGGCAATTCGGCACTTTGGCAATTCGGCACTTCGACACTTCGGATATTCGGCACTTTGGCACTTCAACACTTTGGAACTTCGGAATTTCGGTAACTTCGGCACTTCGACGCTTCAGAACTTTGGCACTTCGACACTTCGGAACTTCGGCAACTTCGGCACTTCGGCACGTCGACACTTCAGAACTTCGGAATTTCAGAACTTCTCTTGCAGCCACTTGGTAGATAACTCCCTAATTCCCACGGTATTAGGGAGTTATCTACCAAAAGATTACTTAGTATTAGTAAATTATGCCCCTACTCGCTATACCACGAGTAGGGGCATGTCTATTAAACAGTGAGCAGCCTATGGCAGCCTGAGTGACGGGTGGGGGCCCTAAAGTAAAATAATGAGCGGTGGGTGGGGGCCCTAAATACTAATTAGGGGGGGACATAATGTCCTCCCCCCTGGCCCCCACCCCTGAGTGGTGGGGGCACTAAAATATTAATTAGAGGGGACCTAATGTCCTCCCCCCTGGCCCCCACCCCTGAGTGGTGGGTGGGGGCCCTAAATTAGAATGGGGGTACCTATTGCCCCACCTGGCCCCCACCCGCCATTCAGGGATGGGGTCCAGAGGGGAGGACAATAGGTCCTCCCTAATTAGTATTTAGGGCCTCCACCAACTGCTCAGGGGTGGGGGACAGGAGGGAGGACATTAGGTCCCCCAAGTTAGTATTTAGGGCCCCCACCAACTGCACAGGGGTGCGAGCCAGGGGGAGGACATTAGGTCCCCCCCAATTAGTATTTTAGGGCCCCCACCCACCGCTCAGGAGTGGGGGCCAGGGGGGAGGACATTATGTCCCCCCCAATTGCTATTTAGGTGGTGGGCGGGGGCCAGGGGGGAGGACAATAGGTTCCCCCATTACTTTACTTTTTGGCCCCCACCCAGCCACAGGCATGGGTGGGGGCCGGAGGGAGGACAATAGGTCCCAACCATATTTTACTTTAGGACCCCCACCCGCCGTTCGGGGGTGGGGGCCGGGGGGGCAATAGGTCCCCCCTTCAGGTTAGGAGGGGGAGGGGGGACATGTTTTTGTTTTTTTTACAGTGAGCAGCCACAGGCGAGTAGGGGCATAATTAGAAGTATAGCGAGTAGGGGCATAATTTACTAATACTAAGTAATCTTTACTTAGTATTAGTAAATCTGGCTGAAAGACCAATTTAGGTCTTTCAGCCTTTTAGTAGATAGCTCCCTAATACCATGGGAATTTAGGGAGTTATCTACTTATTCATTCCTGTCATTACATTGACTGGCCAAGTAACTCACATTTTATATGAATGTGTGTTACTTGATTGTTGTAAGTGTTGCAAACGCTAACATCTGAATCCTGGCTATGTTTGTATACTTTTTATTTAAAATAGTATACAGTGTAACATTCTTCTTCTTCCACTGGGTAAGTATATTAGTACTTAGGCAATACTGTGCTTCGGAACTTCTTCAATTCGGAACTTCAGCACTTCGGAACTTTGGCACTTCGACACTTCGGAAATTCTGTCATTTTGGAACTTCGGGACCTCGGTAATTCGGCACTTCGGCAATTCGGACATTCTGAAGTACCCGAATGTCCGAATTGCCCGAAATTCGTCCAAATTCATATTCGGCCCGAAACGAATTGCACATGTCTAATACTCACCTCTCCCATTCCTTGTTGCCCTATTGTGGTTTCTTGGTAGTCCAATAGCGCATTCCTTCTGTATAGTTGTTTGGTACCTTGACTTGCTCTTGTCTTTTGTTTATTGTGCTCTCTCTAATCTATTGACCTCGGCTTGTTTCATCATTATTCCTTACCTCTGTAATCCTCTGACTTCGACTTGTATACTGACTCTGTTTATTTGTATAGCCCGGCCATTCTAAGGACCGGTATTACAAATATTCTTGCTTGTGATTCTGTCTGTGTGTTCAGGTTCCCATATTCCTGACAATACCCTAGTGGACAGTCAACACCAATAGAGTCGTAGGTAGATAGACTATGGTTTGTCCTCTGCTGTTCAAACAAAATTTCCAGCCTGTCTAAATTGGTATTCCACTGCATGTTGACATCCTGCTGTAGATGGCATGTAGAAGTCCTTTTTTCTATTGCTCCTGCCTCTGGAATTGACTATCTCTCATATTACTGTGGAAATGCCCAGCAATCCTCCTGCAATAATCAAGTATGAATTGCAGTAGAGGTGTCACCAGTGCACCATAAAGGAAAGGAAGGCATGCTAGCAAGGTGGAACACTCCATAAATCTGAACAATCAGGTGATTTTGTTAGTATGCTGTTTTGATGTGGCCCTTGAATGAAATTCAACAATTTGTTAAGGAGTGGGTTGGTGGATAATTCCCTTGGATAATGAGAAGTTGTACTGTCCCTGTCCAACCTGCCCCTGTTGAAAATTGTCAGCATTATACATTTAAATGCTCATAGTTGTGAGTGAAGTTTTACAAGCTTTTATGGTGTTTTGGAAAGTTACCGAATCAAATAAAGAGCTTACACATTTTTATTTCTAAACATTTAAATTTGCCAGATTGGATATGTTGCCTTTAATGCTGTATGGCAGCCCAGAAGCCCCCATCATGGCATACCATTTGTAAAAGAAGATAACCCAAGGTTCAGTCTTTTTAGGAGCAAAATGATCACAAACCCTGGCCAAAATTTATATTTGATTTTTTACATTTGATACACAACAACTGCACTTTTATTGAAGATATACTCATCATTATACATTTTACTTTTTAAACACATACATTTTTGTGTTCAGCGAAGTCTCCCGAGTACAACAGTGCCTCCCATATACAGTTTTTATGGTGTTTTGGAAAGTTTCATGGTTAAATATAGGGTTGGACAATAAATTATCTGAACTTTTAACCTGGGCTGCCAGTCAGGTCACTTAAATTTTAATTAATAAAATCATATAATTATGTAAAAAGATACAAATACACATAGAATTTATATATATATATATATATATATATATATATAATTATTATTTATATAGCGCCATCAGATTCCGTAGCGCTGTACAAAGGGTGGGTGAGATCTCTGGTGTGAAGGTTACATTATTATTTTTATTATGCTGATATTTATAGAGCGCCGTCAAATTCCGCAGTGCTTTACAATGGGTGGACGAACAGACATTTAATTGTAACCAGACAACTCGACGTACAGGAACAGAGAGGTGGAGGGCCCTGCTCAGTGAGCTTACATGCTAGAGGGAGTGGGGTATAGTGACACAAAGGGTAAAAGTAGGGGTATGAAGTAAGTTGTTAGAAAAATATACGCTGAGGGCTTAGTAGGTAATATTTGACAGTTGCAGGAGAGGAGTCATGGAGGGTGGAGGATAAAAACCTGCTAACAGTTTAATTGATATGTTTTCTTGAAGAAGTGAGTTTTCAATGATTTTTTGAATGAGTGGAGACTGAGTGAAATTCTTATTATGGAGGACAGGGAGTTCCACAGAAGAGGTGCAACCCTGGAAAAGTCTTGAAGGCGAGCGTTAGAGGTGGGAGTACAGACAGAGGTTATACGTAGGTCTTTGGCAGAGCGTAGGGGCCTCGACGGGACATACTTGTGTATTAGGGAGGATAGGTAGGTATATATATATATATATATATATATATATATATATACATACATTTCATTCTAAGCTTATTTTGATATTAATATATCTATATTAATATCATAATCCCGTTAGAAAGGAAATTACATATATATATATATATATATATATATATATATTTTTTTTTTTTAATTTATTTCTAATGTGTGTGTATGTATATATATATATATATATATATATATATATATATACATTTGTGTTTTTTTAATTATTCTAATATATATATATATAAAAATCCAATATCCCCCGCACTCACGCTTAGTAAATTTCCAATTTTCCGGGTGCCATAGCCTGGACTCTAATAGTACAGTCTGCCAAAAAATAGCTGCTCACCGGTCTTTAAGAACTCCAATGCTTTATTTAGTTCAAGTTAAAATAAGAAACATAAGTTTCTTATTTTAACTTGAACTAAATAAAGCATTGGAGTTCTTAAAGACCGGTGAGCAGCTATTTTTTGGCAGACTATATAGAGATAAATTTACTCATACTTACCGTAATTTTCTTTTCCTGGTCATAGGCCATGGCAGTACAACAATGGGTAGCTCCTCCCCTATCCCTAGTTAGACAGGAACTAATTAAAATAAGGGTACAAATACCCCCTCCTACCTCCTCCTCCCTCAGTCTAGTTAACAGCAATATCCCTGGGTGGGACCTTTGTGCTGCCATGGCCTATGACCAGGAAAAGAACATTACGGTAAGTATGAGTAAATTTATCTCTTTCCTGGCCATATCCATGGCAGCACAACAATGGGTAATACCCAAGCTAAAACCAAGGGAGGGAAAGAAAAACTCAGACACATTATTATATAATGCAAGTGTATTGTCACAAACAATTCAATGTGATGAACAAAAAGAATAGTAGTTAATCCTTTGAGGCAGAAAGAACTGATCTGCCAAATCCATCGTATTGGCCAGCTCTTACATCTAAACGATAATGTCTAATAAATGTATTAGAAGATGACCAAGTGGCTGCTTTGCAAATCAGTTCTGTAGAAACCTTTGCTGCAGCTGCCCAGGATGAAGAAAGGGAACGTGTAGAATGAGCTTTCAAACCTTCAGGAACACTAGTTTTAGATGATCTATAAGATTGGATAATGGCCGAAACTATCCATCTACTGATAGTGGCTTTCGAAGCTTGCAGACCCTTCCTAGGGCCATTAGGAATAACAAAAAGCCTTTCCGAAATACGCCATTCTGAGGATCTTTGTATATATATCTTAAGACATCTTACTAGGTCGATAGCATCATCATCAGCGTCTTCCCTGTTATTAGATTCTTCTGTACTTAATGCTGGAAGGATTATTTCTTCATTCATATGGAACTCTGAAGTTACCTTAGGGCGGAATTCTGGAACCGTTCTCAGGATGACTCTGTCCTTATGAAATATAGTAAAAGGTTCTCGAGCCGAAAGAGCCTGAAGATCAGAAACCCTTCTACCAGAGGCTAGGGCTACTAGTAGAACTGTCTTGATCGTGAGAAGATGACAGGAAATAGATGCCATAGGTTCAAAAGGATCTGCTTTAAGAGCCTTCAGGACCAGAGGGAGATCCCATGGCGTAGTAATAGACTTAATGGGTGGCTTGATCTTGAGGACTGCAGTCAAAAATCTAGCTATGTCTGGATCCAGTGCCCATCTATGATTAGTTAAAGCAGAGAGGGCAGAAACATGCACTTTTAGAGTGTTATAACTCAATCCCTTCTCTAGACCTGATTGTAAAAAATCAAGAATGTCAGTAGTTGAAGGGTTCAACATATCAAAGGGCCTTGAACTGGCCCATGAAGAAAATACATCCCATATTCTGTAGTAAGTGGATGAAGTGGACTTCTTCCTTGCTTGAAGAAGTGTCTCGATAACTGATCTCGAAAATCCCTTGTTCTTTAACCCATCCCTTTCAAGTACCATGCCATCAGATGAAGGGATGCTGGGTTTGGATGATGAATTGGACCCTGATGTAACAGGAATGGGACAACTGGAAGGCGCCATGGATCCTTCTTGCACAGACTTAGTAGGAGCGGAAACCAAGGTCTGCGAGGCCAAAAAAGGGGCTATTAGAATCAGTGATGTCTTCTCTTGTCGTAGTCTCCTTAGCAGAGGGAAGATGAGGGGTTTCGGAGGAAAGGCATAAGCCAGGTTGAAGTTCCAACTGCATGTCAATGCGTCTCTTCCTATGGCCTGGGGATCTGGAATTCTCGAAAAGAAGTTCTTGACTTTTCTGTTGTTGCTTGTAGCCATTAGATCTATCTGGGGAAGGCCCCATTTTTCTACGATCTGTAGAAATATGACGTCTGATAGACTCCATTCTCCCGGGTCTAATCTCACCCTGCTGAGAAAGTCTGCCACAGAGTTCTGAGTTCCTGGGAGATGTATTGCAGAGATATTCTCCAAATTCATTTGAGCCCAGGCCATCAAAGGTTTCATAAGTTTCATCATTCTGCAACTTCTTGTCCCTCCTTGGTGATTTATATATGCCACAACTGTGGCATTGTCTGTCCTGATCTTGACCCATTTGTGAAGTAAAAGTTGCTGGAAGTGTATTAGAGCCTTGAAAACTGCCAGAAGTTCTAGAAGATTTGAAGGGGTGTCGGAGGTTGAAAAATGCCCATTTCCCCTGAACATAGTTGTCTTGAAGGTGGGCTCCCCAGCCCCATTGACTGGCATCTGTGGTGATGATGATCCATGGAATGTATCCTAAGGGATAACCTCTGAAGAGAGATTCTTTCTGGGTCCACCACTTCAGGGATTTTTGTACGTGAGGAGGGATCACTATAGGTTGAGACAGATTGCCCTTGAATTGAGAAAGGAAATTCCTTTGGAAAGGCCTCATTCTCCATTGGGCCCATCTCGTAAGTCCTATGGTGGAGGACATTGATCCCAGGAGGCTCATAGTTGTCTCTGCTGAGGAAACACTGGATGCTAACATGTCTTTGACCTTTTTCCGAATTTTCATACCCCTTTCTGGGGACAGTTGGACGGAACCTTCTGCAGTGTTGAATGCTGCTCCTAGATATATCATGCTCTGGGATGGCTTTAGGTTGCTTTTGGCAAAATTGATCTTCCATCCGTGTTGTTGAAGATACTGTATACATATCAGGCCGTGATCTTCTAATATATCTCTGTTTTCTGCCAGAATCAAGATGTCGTCGAGGTAATGATATACTGCAATGCCTTTCTTCCTGAGTTCTCCGATGAGAACCACCAGAACTTTTGAGAAAGTACGTGGAGCAGTGCTTAGCCCAAAAGGGAGAGCCCGGAACTGAAAATGACCCTCTTCTACAGCGAATCTGAGGAATTTTTGATGCTGGGGTGCTATGGGAATATGGAAATATGCGTCTGCCAGGTCTATTGACATGAGCCATTGATCTGGAAAAACTGCTTTTACAATGGATTGAAGAGACTCCATCTTGAATTTCCTTATGTTTAGGAACTTGTTTAGTCTGCTTAGGTCTAATATTGGTCTCCATCCCCCTGTGGATTTTCTGGTGAGAAAGATATGGGAGTAAAACCCATGTGTTTGTTGAGCTCTTGGAACTTGAACGATAACTCCATCGTCTTGAAGGGATGAGATAAACTTTTTTAGGGAATCTCTTTTTTCTACATCTCTTCCTCTCTGTATGATATCCAGCACCCATCTGTCTTGAGTTGAATGTTTCCAAATATTCTGGAATAGAAGTAGACGGGCACCTACTCCTCCAGAATGGTAGGTGGATTTGTCATAAAGGCTTCTTGTGAAATGAGGAACCTCTAGACTTTCCTCCTCTGTTGGATGAATGACCTCCTCTCCATGGAATGGATCTTCCATATTCTCTTCCTGGTTTATAAGATCTGGTATCACGAAAAGAGGGGTATTCAGAGTATCTTCTGGCTCGAAAGGATCCACGGGTTTTCCGGTCTTGTGGGAGAAAGGCTCTCTTACCTTCTGCAGCTCTTTTGATGCACTCGTCTAGATTTTTACCAAACAACATCTCACCATGAAAAGGAAGGGCGCATAGACTAGACTTTGATGATGAATCTGCGGACCAGGATCTCAGCCATAAAGCTCTTCTAGCTGAAATTGAAAGAGCCATGTTTCTTGCTAAAGCTTTCACCATGTCCACTGAGGATTCTGAGGTAAAGTCAACGGCCAGTTTAATATCATTTAATCTTTCCAGAAGAGAAGATCTGTTTCTCCCATCTCTGATATCTTCTTCCAAGTTTTCGATCCAGATTTTTAAGGCCCTGGATACTGAAGTAAGGGCTATTGCAGGGTGAAAACCAGTCCCTGCTGCTACATAAGCTTTTGAGAGATGCAGATCCATCTTTTTGTCCATTGGGTGTCTAAATGAGCCTGCATCATCTACTGGTAATGTGGTGTGTTTTGCGAGTCGAACTACTGCCGCATCTACCTTAGGGGCATTATCCCAATGGTATGAATCAGACTTGTCAAAAGGATAGAGGCGAGATATTCTGCCTTGTGCTGAAAGCTTCTTATCTGTGTTAGACCACTCGTCTTTAATTAATTCCTTAATAGTATCATGTACTGGAAAGGTAGCTCTTTTCTTTCTCAAATCTGAGAAATAACGATAAGAGGTTGACTGCTCTGCAACTGCCTCCTTCAAGCTCAAAGATTTACGGACTTTGTAAATGAGGTGGTCTATCTGAGCAGGTTCTAAAAAATCTGCAGGGGCCTGAGTTTCTTCTTCGTCTGAAGATAAGAAATTCCCCTGGTATGATTCCATATCCATGGATTCATCTGACGAATCATTACGTTGGTAATCCGAAGGTTCATGTAACCGGGGTCTTTTGTGACTTGCCCCTGCTTCTTTGATACCTTGAGCCACCGCTTGTTTTATGAACTGTACAAATTCCATTGAAGGATTAGATGTTCCAGCTGCTTCAGATAAACATTCTGCGCATAACCGTTTGCCTTCCAGCGGTTTATTATTACAGGCTTCGCATTGATTTTTCTTTGGAGATTTTCCTTTGGATGATCTCACTGTTTTCTTTCCCGTAGAACTATCATGATAGGGAAATATCTCACATTAGCACTCTTTTATTTCATGTATCATATTCCGGATAAGGGAAAAAAATGATGTGATATGGCTTACCTATAACTCTTAGAGTGTGACCTATTTTTATATCCAGAAGAGTCCGAATCAGAAGAAATTGATCTCCTTTTGTCTTTTTCCATTTTGGAGTTGATTATGAACAGTCTAAAAAAGGAATTCTTATTGTTATAGAAAGAAAGGAGTAAAGAAATGAGAAAAAAAAATGTGTATATACCTTTAAGAAGTAAAGCTTACCTTCAGATTTTCAGTAAAATATAAACGCAATTCAAATTGAGAACTGTAAGAAAACAGGTCCTCTAAAGACCTAATGAGGACATCAGGTAATAATTTAATTCAACTTTGGCGCTTAAATAGGCGTGTGACGTCATATCTGACGTCACCGCCTATCCGCGCATG